TCACTCTTTCAGCTGCTCCACCATGATAAATCCTGCCTTACCACTTAAAAGGACTTTGTCTCAGCACAACAACCTTTGATTTTAGCTGTTATGATTACATCTTCAGTGATCCCTAAAAGGGGAAATCTGGATCTAAAAGGCGAAACCTTGCTCACTGAGGTAACCGTCCCCGTCATGCCTTACTTCATCTGCCTTTGTGCTGATGAGTGCTAAATGTCAGTGGAGCAGCATCAGCACCAGGACCTGCTTCTTACTCTCTACCACAGAAGGGGATTTCAGGCAGTAACGACTGGTGAACCTTTTAGTCTCTGTGTCTGACACGTTTACCACAGGGAACAGTGAGGTCACTACAGCTTTAGAGCACTGGGCTCTCATTTCTCTCTTCTGAAGGCCTTACTGCTCCTCTGCTTTTAGATCTTGTCATTCAGTTACTGATTTTTAGGCTTGTTATCCAATAACAGCTACAAATTACTTAGTAACTGCTGTGAAGCTAGAATGTAAGGTGTTGTAGGGATGGGTGATACGATGATATGTAAACTGGGTCACGATATGCTTTGCTGAGTACATCGTGGGTATAATCAGCACTTACAGAACCTTAAATACATGTACACAGAATGAAAAAGGCAGGTTAAGATCACAGAGAGCCTGTGAACAACAAGTAGTCTATAACACACACACACACACACACACACACACACATATGTTTTTATGCAGTTTATGCAGTTATATATATATATATATATATATATATATATATATATATATGTATGTTGTAAAATAACTGCATAAACCACATGGTAACAAGTAGCTCTGGATGTTATCCTGTTAAGCCATTTATTCTACTTATTTGATTTTTTTCAAGGAATTTATTTCTGGAAATGTTCCAAAAACATTACAGAAAATGCCTCTTTATTGCTGCCAAAACAGCCCGTTTTAAATTCTTTGTTTTTGTGATGTGACAAGAAACCAGTGTATTTACATATATATGTACACATATATCTGTCTTCTCAGCTTACAGCAGTTTAGCTCCGCCTCTTCATATTGACATTATAAGTGGTGTTTCAGCCCAAAACACTTTATTGATGTAAGCTGCCAAAACAGGCTGCGGTGAATTCTTTGTTCTTGTGATGCCACGAAAGCCAACATTTAAATATATTCGCCTATTCAGCCAAATTAAAGTTATAAGGAGTGTTTCAGCCTGGGCTGCTTTTTGAATGAGGCTCAATACTGGGCAATAAGAACAGAGCTTATTTACATATCGCTGCTATCTGAACAAAGTCTCGTATCTCCAAAATGATAACTTTACAGGAGAAGGAAAAAACCCACTTTACTTTTAATGTAAGTCAATGGAACCAGATGTTTTTCCAAGTCATTTTGGGCCGTTTCTGTTGGTCCATTCACCATAAAATTTACATACAATGTAAAGGGCAACAGACATTTTCAAATGATGTCAAAATGTGAAAAACAAAAATGAAGATACGAGTTTTTGTTCTGACAGCAGCGATATACTAACCTTCAAGGCACATGACCGGTTTAATTCTAAGGGATAAAGACAGAAGGGAAAACAGATGTCATAATTAAATTTTTGATAAATAAAGCCACACAAACTTTAAAAGTTGTTCTCAGGGGAAAAAAAACAAAATACAAGAAAAATGTAGAATATGTACACTTTAAGCACATGACAAGTCCATCACACTGGCCACCATTTACTCACAATGCATGAGCTTTCTACTTTTGACTAAACCTTCACCTCAATAAACTCCCACCTCCATTAGTATACATGCTAGAGCTGATAAGCTGATAGGAGAGTTTTTTTTGGCATGTGCGGGGCTCTCCGTAAACGTTTCTGTCGTGTTGCCTTTAGCCACAAGGAAGAACCGGCCAGTTTCATCAAAGCTCAGAAAAAAAACAGGCATCTGTCGCCCAAGCTCTGACCCGAGAGGTCAGTGAAAGTGCACTTCCCCCGAGTGACATGCAAAAACGACCATTTTTTCCAAGTGACAAAGTTGCTGACTGAGCTAACACTTTCTTTTCTTGGCAGAAAATGCACAATGGCTTGTGCTACAACACCACATATCACACTGCATGTCAGACGTTTAAAGACACCTAGCTTTTAATACAAATGAACAGGAGTTCTTTGTGATTTTTCCATAACTTACTTTGAAGAGTAATCAGGTTTATTTCGAGATCAAATGTGTAAATACCAGTGATGGGAATAAAGCCAAGGGTCACTCATTGTGTTCCCCCCTTGTTGGGCCAAGTTTCAATATGTGCTTTTAACAATAGTCTGAAAAAGAAAACTGTCAAATACACATGAGCTCTTACACCAATCAGGCATAACATTATGACCACCTCCTTGTTTCTATGCTCATTGGCCATTTTATCAGCTCCACTTACTATATAGGTGCACTTTGTAGTTCTACAGTTACAGACTGTAGTCCATCTGTTTCTCTGTGTACTTTGTTAGTCCCCTTTTACCCTGTTCTTCAGTGGTCAGGACCCCACAGGACCACCACAGAGCAGGTACTATTCTCATTCTCAGCACTGCAGTAACACTGATGTGGTGGTGGTGTGTTAGTGTGTGTTGCGCTAGTCTGAGTAGATCAGACACAGCAGTGCTGCTGGAGTTTTTAAACACCTCAGAGTCACTGCTGGACTGAAAATAGTCCACCAAACAAAAATATCCAGCCAACAGTGTCCTGTGGGCAGCGTCCTAAGTCCACTGATGAAGGACTAGAGGAACATCTAAAATTCTTGTTTATTAACTATTTATAATCAGCGCAATTAGACAAATACTAAAATTCTAAAAAGGACCTCAATGAACAGCTTCTTTACAAACACTGAAGCTCCTACTAAAGCCTGAGTAGACAGATAAATCAGTGTGATGATCAGTTATTGATCTCAGTGTTACTGAGCTCTGCTAAAGCCTCAGTAGACTGATAAATCAGTGTGATGATCAGTTATTAATCTCAGTGTTACTGAGCTCTGCTAAAGCCTCAGTAGACTGATAAATCAGTGTGATGATCAGTTATTAATCTCAGTGTTACTGAGGGGGAAAAGGTATGAATTTTCCAAAAATAATTTAATCGACAAGTAATTTTGGAATGCGTTACTGAATACATTTAGGACAGTGTATTCAGTATTCATAAGTATTTTGCCCAACCTTGTCCACCACCCAAATAATACCTGAATAAACATATAAACATCTAACACATTTAATAGGAATCTGCTACCATAAGTGACCATTAATTATTAATGAGTTCATCATACATTTAACTGATATTGTTCAATGCACTGAAAAGAAGATCACAAAACTGAATATTTAACCAACTTTGGTCATCCATGTAGTATTCCTGGAAAACATTCATTTTTGTTTTGGTACATTTAGTATCATTTTTTTGTTGCTTTAAGTGTTATTTTTAGTAAGTGTATTTATATATTACTTTAATTCTTCATATTTTTAAGTGTGCTTTTATTTTGTGTAACTGTCACCAATGAAAAGACATTGGTGTGCATATGGATAAGAAACAGCTGAAACACACGCACTTAAACAGCAGCATATCAACACAGCATATGTCTACATTGACACATAGCATAAAATAAATCAGAAAAAAATGGTCAAGGTGAATTACAGATTTTATTAAATATTGCTAAATTAATTTACAATCTCAACAGATCAGATATTCCTTAAAGCAGAATTAAGTATTCAGTAACACTGCTATTAATCCCTAATGTGCCTCTATGAAAATGTATATCTCTATACAAACGCAAGGAGTTGGCAGACATATATACATCTTTTAAAACAGGGATCAAAGAGACAGAGAGAGAGAGAGACAAAGAGAGAGACAAGAGAGTTGAGTTGACCTGGGTTTGGTTTCCGATAAGCTTCAGCGAACAGCAATCGTGATGATATGGCAGTGCGAGTATCGTTTTGAGCACTCACTCTCTCCTGTATAGAAATTACACTGTGAAGCTCCTGCAAACACGCCTTGCTCGCATAATATGAAGACAGTAATCAGGGAGGCTTTCTGCTCAAACGTTTATGCAGCCCCCCAGAGTAGCTCCTCAAAGCTCACCTCACAGCAGGCACTGATGACCTTGACCAGAATAATGAGTCATACCATTTAAATACTCTACACAGTAACGTCCATTAGAATTAAGACATAAAAGCAAAGCTTACCAGTCTATATAGTTTAGAGGCTAATCTTATACTTGTACCACCTTGTAAAGCAAATTACCCTTAAGCCAGAGTTATTTCAACAACAGACAACGAAAGGAAAAGGGGAAAAAAATAAATAATAAAACAAAATACACAGAACATAATGTGACGAAGAAAAATCATAAAACTTCTGTCGTGCCATGACAATCTTTTAAACTTCATTTATATTTTATTTTGGAAATAAATAAATAAATTAGATAAGAAAAGGAAAAACAAAAAAGACCCATGATGAGACACCTATTAGAATTCCTGCTAACCTAACTCTATGAACTTATGCCTCTACAGCATTCTAATAAATCATGAATAATCATGAAGCCAAAGAGAGAAAGAAAGAGAAGGAAAACCCCTTCGACTTGGGAGATGATTATCATCCCTTTAAGACACATTGTACAGCTCAATGAGGTTGCATATTAAAGTATTAATATTGCACAAAATACAAAAATAAGACATAAAATACTGCTTGCTATACTGGTTTGTAAATACAAAAAAGATGCTTTTGCAGCACGTTTCCAAGCAGCATCTAACTAGTCATGTCATCCAGTATAGCCCGTCTATTCAAGTCCCCCCTGCAAAGGCCATCCAAATCCAAATTCACTGCCATGTAGAAAACATTTGGCAGCCCACTTTACAGAGGAAGAGAGAAAAAGACTTATAAGAAGTTCCCCCAGTGACCTAAACCTCCTTTTTAAACGTATTTATTTAGATTTTTTTCTTTTTTTTTTTGGCAGGTAACTAGTTTTTCTATTGGAATGCCACACACACACACACACTCACCCACCTCTCTCTCACACACACACTGGGACGTTAAGGGGAATCTGTGTGGACAGACAAGTGCTGCGCAGGTCCATGAGCAAGTGTGCAGTGTGATTCAAGGCCAGTGCTGTAGCTCATGCACACACATATGCGCTCAGGCAGGCTGCTGGGGGTTCACGTTCATGTGCTGGGGATGTCCCAGGAGCCCGATCCTCTGCTTCTGTTTTCGCTGCTCCGTCATCTGTTAGGACACACACACAATTTTTTAGCTTTTGTTCCCTTCCTCCATCTCACTTTCCCCCTTTGTACACACCAGGCATTTCCTGTGATGATGTATGTGCTAAATCCATTCTTGTTGCCTTGGTATGAATCCAAAAACAATGTGTGCTTGTCTGAGCCCTATATATATATCTTGCTGCTGTTGGAACAAAACCTTGTATCTTGGAAATGAGAACTTTACAGGAGAAGGAAAAAAACATACTTTATTTTTAATGTAAGTCAATGGAACCAGACTTTTTTCCAAGTAATTTTGAACCAATTAATTTGGTCAATTTATCATCAAATTTACACACAATGTAAAGTACAATTTTGTCAAAAACTGAAAAATGGCAAAAACTGAGATAAGGTTTTGTGTGTATATATATATATATATATATATATATATATATATATATATACACACACACACTTATAGCAATATATGTATAGATATATATTTCTATAAGTATAGGTAATAATAATAACAACAATAATAATAATAATGGTATGTCCCATTTGTATCATGTGTGTGTGTATATATATATATATATATATATATATATATATATATATATATATATATATATATATATATATACACACACACACACACACACACATATATACATACATATATACACACACAAACATTTTTTTTTAAATAACAAGACTCTTATTGGTCTTGTAGGTTAGCACACACATACACACATGTACACAGAGAGACAGACAGACAGACAGACAGACACACACACACAGTTCCAGCGAAATTCAGCCTCCTGTCACTTCTAAAATCCCCTGAACTGACTCAACAACAGTTGCAAAAAATATGCCAAAAGCTAACACAACCACAGATCACACACATTAAAGTTAGCATCTACAGGAAGTAAGCTCTCTCATGTCACAAAATAAAGAGACGGTCATTAAAACCGTGAATAAACACCCGCCATTTGACATTTCACGTTATCAGCTGTTAAAGATTCTGAAAGAACACGGCCCCAGACAGATTTCACCAGAAACAAACTACAATAGGGAGGCTGGATTAACAGTTTTGAGAACTAGAACAAAAGTCTGAAAGCCCACATCAAGTTAGCTTGAAAAGCAGAAGAGAGCTCTTCTGTGACTGTGACAGAGTTTCAGACCAGGGCTCTAACAGGTGATCCAGATCTGGTTCGGCAATGATAATTAATAGTTTAAGGCAATTACGACTTTAATGAGGCCGTCTAACATAAAAAAGGTTACAGGAAGATAGAACTTTTTCTTGTTTAAGCCAAATTGAAAATGAAGATCAACAATATCCACTTTAATCACCATAAATGTGTATATGTGCTGTTGATAATTTCAGCGAGGTGAGGTATGTAAGTTGTGGGAATGTTTTGAAAATTCAAAGCCGTAATCAGGGATTTGAAAACAGCAAAGGGACAGGCCTGGCAGGGCACAGAAATGTGGTGCCTAAATATCCCTAAGCATCACTCAGGGCTATAAACAACACTCGGCCACCTTTCAAACAAAGCAGATACTCTGCTGTTTCAGATGATGTCAAAAATCATTCATAGGGCTTCTTTATGTGTGCAAGTGGATTAAATCCTCTCTGTCTAATTTTAATGCACTGTTCATGGGCTTTTAGCATATTAAAACTTCATAGGCTTTCAGGATATTAAAAGGCTGTACTGAATAAGAGGCTTTACTCTAATTAGCCTTCTTCAGAAAATGTAATAACCTGCCAGGGTTTGTTTCTTAAATCAATCAACAACATTCAGCATGTCTTTTTATCCAGTTTAAGGTGTTTTTTTTTTAAATCAGCATCTGATGCTACTAATGTACAGGCTTCTAGAATATTCTAGATTATCTGCCTTTGTACGTATGTTCTCTGTATATTCTATAAACATAATAACTAACATACCTAAGCCAGACCTATTTTTTTCATTTCAATATTCAAATTATTAAAGATATTCAAATTAATTGAAGCAGGATATGCATATATTTTCAAATAAATACAGACTAGTATGTGAAACACAATGTAGAATGTTGTTGTATTTATGTAAAAGTGAAAGGTGGCGGTTTTTTGGATTGTTACTTCACCTTCTTTCAGGAACCCAAATGGTCATTTCCCCGTCTGGGACCGAGTCAAAAGAAGTTCTAGTTCCTCTTAGACACTTCTCATTTACAAGTCTCCTGATCACCAGATATACACACACAGTTTTTTTTTTGTTTTTTTTTACAAGAAACTTTCACATTTCCAATGTATTTTACTTGAATAAAAACATCACTTTCGTCACCGGATCACCTGTAGCTTTCATTTAGATTCAATCATCTCCGCCTGCGATGCTATTTATGTGTGGAAACAAACCGAGCTGGTTCGGAGAACTTTGTCTGGACTACAATAAGAGCTGATTCAGAATGAAACAACACTTGGCCTCGTGACGCAGGTGAAAGATCATCTTTGTACCACATGGGTTTGTTGCGCTGATCACAGATATGATCACAGACAGATGAGAGAGACAGAGGAGAGAGAGAGGGGGAGAGAGAGTGAGAGGGAGAGAGAGAGAGAGAGAGAGAGGGAGAGAGAGAGAGAGAGAGAGAGAGAGAGAGGGAGAGAGAGAGAGAGAGAGAGAGAAAAAAAAAGAATGACTCATTGCCCTTTGCACTAATTAAGCTACTTTAGAAAGCTCAATGACCTTCAATGGTCTGTGTTCTTAAACCAGACTTAAACATACAGCACTCCTTGACCTGAAAAATCCCTGACCATGTATGTACCAAGCCTTTAACACACATCAGCTTTATATGTGCAGTGAGCATGACTTTCAGCTCAAAAGGAGACTCACCAGGCCCTGAGTCTATACAAAATGATGTAAATAAATCAGCTGTTTGGTGTTGATTTGGTTCATATTACCAACAGTTTGGTAAAACATTCCTATATGCTGTTCATTTCTGAGCAGTACAGGGTTTAACATTAACCTTTTCCCCAACTTGCCTGATTTGGCAAATATACCTAAAGTTTACTGTCCTGAAAAGAGTTCACATAGTCAGATCAGATTTTTGCTTTTAAAGACATCTGTCGAAAATAAATAAGTGCTCATACAACATTCTGTCAGGGAAACCAATTAATCCTTAAGCTATAAGCTAATGAATATTAAATATTAAATATTTACTCTTACTCTTCAGAGCAAAACTAGAGTCATGTCATAAAGCAGAAGTTATCTGTACACATGCATGCTTTACATTTGCAAAGAGCTCTTGTGCAGTCACGTTTACTGTTAATTGTGTGAGAGAAAGAGGAAATAGGTGTGTATCTTGTATTATTAAGTAAAACTACTTCTAGATATCAACGTCGTACGCATTAGTGACAGGACGACATTTTTCATAACAATCTAGGAAATGTTTTCTATACATGGCAGGTCTTCTGTTTTCTCTGCCTTGTTAGATTAAGACCTATAAACTACAAAGCTTCAATATGGATGGGTCAAAATGAACCCAGAGGAAATAAAATGAAAAGTCAATTCTCAATTGCTTTGGCTCATGCCAATGAGTTACTGCCATGGTCAATGATGACTTGTGCTACAAATGATTACCAACAAACAACGCAATTAGCTAGATTTAACTTGATTGCTATATTTAATGTTTAATTACACCATTTTCTATTATGGAGAGGTGGAATATGAAAGGTGTATGAAAAGGTACTAGATACGAAAGCTAATGGAGGCAGTTTCAAGTACGTTGTTGGTAAGCTGAATCAGTTGTACCGAAGACCTCAAAACATCAGACCTCCCAACTGATTTTTCACTGCTGTTGTCCTGGGGCCGTATTACAGAAACTTCTTAAGTCTGAAATCTTATTTTATCGGTTCAGTCGCCATGACAACTTTAGTTAGGACTGAATTTAGGACAGAAGCTGTTACAGAACAACAGTTCTTAAGTTCATGATCTTATTTATTAACTCCAGATAGGAAAACAGTATTACAGAAACATCATAAATAGACTAAATCTCTTAAATACTGTCCTAACTTTAGGATAAACCCCAGAGGATCTTAACTTCTGTTTTAACCATCTGTTTGTATTGTTTTATGCAGTGATAGATAGCATAGTTCACTATAACCAGCATAACGATGCTACATTTATCAACACTTTGACTTGTGAGTTTTTTTTTCTAACAGCATTTTAAAAACCCCAGATGCTGCAGACTCGATCACCACTGTCCCTCTTATTACCTTCGGGTGTTAATGTTTGATAAAAACTCGTTAGATAAAATATTACAGTGATGGTGGTGAATAATGAGTAAAACAGAGCTGAACGTCTGTCTGTTTATTAGGAGGAATAACGTTAGCGCGCTCGGCTAAAGTGTTTGGGAAATGGAGACTGAAACTGTGGAGCGGTGACTGATAAACAGCACAAAGCGCTGATACAACATTATTAGCTTTCAGTTTATCACGCTTTAGTTTTATTTGACCTTTTTTACATCAGTAACGGTAGCTAACATTAGCTGTCTGACTAATTACCTTGATTACGTGTTTACATTTTATATGGTCATATTGTCGGTTGCTAGGTAACAGACATGACAGTTCATTGTCGACTTTGATTCAGTAAGTTAAGATTTCCTAACTTGAGATAAGATGCTCTAAGGTAAGATTCCTAAATTAAGATTTGCTTCTGTAATACAAATTTGTGAAAAATCTTATCTTGACCTGTCAGATCTTAAGTTAAGACAAAAAGATAGGAAGTTTCTGTAATACAGCCCCTGTACTAGCTTTTTACTTGCATCGAGTAATTGTTATTGTTGTACCCTGGCAGTATCTATGTAATCCTTTGGGTGTGTTGAGGGTTTTTCCACTGCACTGAGATCAGTCTTAACTGGCTCTCTCACCTGCTCCTTTAGTTCGGTCAACTGGCTGGACAAGTTGGAGACCAGCTTCATGGTGGACTCCAGCTTCTCCTGCAGATTCCTGATCTCGTTTTGCTCGCCCTCCGCATCACTGCTCACCAGCGACATCGCCCGCATCCGTGGAAACCAGTCGAGGTTGTGCTCCTGTTGGAACAATTAGAACATCTCTAAAATCTCTTACATTCATTTCACACAAAGAGAAAACCAACAACTGACAGGACTACATTTTCATGCACACAGTAGTCTTAGTCTAAGAACTTGCACGGCAACATAGTCGATTAGCCACAATGTGGAACGTGTTGGCAGAGTAAACAGTTCCTGTCTGTTTGGAAATATCAGCCTTTTTCTTTTCATCCATCCATCTAAATATCTCATTAAGTATATTTCTAAATAAATGTTTAACACGAGGGGCATCTCTTTCTCCCTCTAAAAAGACAAAGCCCTTTCGTCCTTTGACACGCCCGTTTGTTTTTGTGGTATAAAGCTGTCATCACACGTACAATACTGCAGAAAGTGAAAGTCAATGAAGCGTTTAAATCCAATTCTATTTCAAATAGTCTGGTCAATATCAGCCTGGAACACATACTTTACCCTGAAGCTACTATGCTTGAGTCAACTAAGACCTAAATTGGACTTTGCTGTTTAAGTCTCTAAGGCTACTTTGACATTACAAGCCTCATTTCTCAAATCTCATTTTCTGCTCAGATCCGCTCTCTCACATGATGGTTCACACTTGTTAAGTGACTCAAATCTGTCATTAATGTGAACGAACCGGCATCCTGAAATGACCCGCATGCGCACATCCTACTCAGTAACTTCACGTGAATGAATCATGTGTGTCATGAACAGCAAACAAACTAACAAGCAGAACGAGCCTTTGGTGCGAAGATAATTAACTCTGATCAGCTCTCAGCTTCATTATTAGAGTGAGACGAAGGCGAAAGGGTGAAATGTGCTGTTTTTCCACTGTTTACAGGCTTTTGGCGCTGCTGTCATGGTAATGCTGAATGATGGCGCACACGCAGTGGAATAAAAGGACATGAACTCCAATCGGAGCGCTCTTATTAAGGTCGCATGGCCACAAATCGGATACGAATCTGATCTAGGACCACACATGAAAGTGGCTCAGGTCGAATTTGAAAAGATCAGATTTATGTGTCCACACAGCTCTGAAAATATCAGATCTGAGTCACATTAGGGCAAAAAAATCAGATTTATGCCACTTCAACCTGGTAATGTGAACGTAGTCTTAGACTAATATCCATCCTTTGTTGTCTATGTAAACATAGTTTATACTGGGTACCATAAGAACAAACCTCTATTATCATTTCTATTGTTGGCAATAGCAAACAAACATCTTCTAGGGATGTTCAGCTTCACTTAGCTACAGCAAACCACCCTTTGGCCAAGTTTCACAAACAGCATTGTTTGAACTCAAAAAGTGGTGCCAATGGCACTCTTGGCAATTATTTTTAATCGCTCTCTTTTTTTACTAATTAGGTTATCTTGTCTTTTTGTCTGTAAGTGGGTCCCCTCTGACATCAAATTCTGTTGTGTAATTTAATTATGGCACGGGAAATGACTTATCAAGAGTCACATGAGTCTTTGGAAAGTGTCCCCTAACACAGCCTGCAGTGTGTCCTTCACCTCCTTACCGAGGGGAAAAACTGTTCTGTTCCATCTCGCAGAGGAATTTCACAGATTACCCCTCCTAATCACATCAACTTAAATATCCAGGAAAACACTTTGTTGTGTGCCTGCCTCACATCCAGACGAAATCAAGCATGAATTTTGCCCTCGTGGACCTTTGGGTCATAATGTGATAGAGATATAGTTCTCCTTTGGGAAATCACCGTTTCTTATGAGGGGGGCCAAAACACAAAACAATGTGGCTCCTTTATGAGACTTGTGCACGGCTTGGCAAGCGTACTTCCTGTTGATCTCTTAACAGTGTTTTGGCTCTCCACACTGTGAGTGAATAAATCTCTCTTACCAGCAGTGACCTTCCTACTGCCAAGAACCGAAAAAATGTCATCCGCCTTCAAGAATTTTATCTATGTAATGGAATTAAAGATATCTTTAAAGAACTCATAAAAGATTTTCACCTTATTGGAGCAACAGCACATAGCAGCTGATGGAGCAGGACCTGAAAAGAATCTAGAATCTGCTTGTGATGTAAAAGGTAGACGTCACTGCTATCATTGTTCTGTTTTAGTTCACGTGAGCTGTGCTAAATGACCACAGACCAGGTGTGTGCAAATCCAGGGTCTAAGCTAACATTAATGGAACACACAGCGTGATGGGAAAAGGATGTTAATAATGAACTGACTGAAGACGTCAGGCAGGAAGCAAACAAGCAAACCCATGTAATATACTTAAAATGTATAAACCCATGTAATATATGTACAACATACTTATGTATGAGTGCTGTCAAAAGAAAACCTCACATCTCCATTTTTGTCATTTTTCAGTTTTTCAGACATAATTTGAAAATGCCTGTCGCCCTTTACATTGTGTGTAAATTTCATGATGAATGGACCAAAAGAAACAGCCCAGAAATGCTTAGAAAAAAGTCTGGTTCCATTGACTTACATTAAAAGTAAAGTATGTTTTTGCCTTCTCCTGTAAAGTTACCAATTTATAAAATTTGAGGTTTTCTTCCAACAACGATATGTTACATAAAACCTGTCCCATCCTAAACAAAACCAATGAACAGGTAACACCATTATGCAATAAATGCCAAAAGGAAATAGGCACCTATAAACACAATACATTTGCAGTACAGATTAATCTTAAAAAGCAGTTTTTATTTGTTTTCCCTCTATAGCCTAACAAACATAAAGCCATGAGTTTGAGATAATATGAATTATTTGAAAAGCTGTTACTTCTTGCAATGAGATGTATTCTGAAGGAGAGGGGATCCATAAACTTTCATAATATGTTTTACTATTACAGAGAGAACCTGCAACGATAAAGGGAAATAATACTCTTTTTGAAACGTATGGTCCTCAGTGCTTGATTTTTTTTTGCCTGATAGGCCACAGAGAGAATGATATCATTCTTTGCAGTCACAATAAAATCAACAAATTAGCCCCTCTTATTGCTCTTTCTTCTCACCCTCCCACTTTTTCTTCTGTTTAATATCTCTCTCCCCTTCCATTTGCCCCCTGTCTTTTTGCTATTATTATTATTATGTGCCAAAGAGAGCTCTTTATATGGACTATGACGAGTATCCAACTCTTGAAGTCCAGTGGAGATTGATGGTTTCACTCTGTTGCTCTCTTTTGCTCATCAACTCAACAATCAAACTGACCAACTTAACTTGACTATATAAGAAACTATTACCCAAAACAATAACTATACTGTAATGTCACTTTAAGCATAATGCTCAATGTTTTAATTTAAATAACTTTGTTGAGTATGCTTTTTCTATTATTAATTATAATTATATAATTTAATTATAACCCTCAAGGCTAATTAAAATACTGGCTGCTAGCATTAACTAAACTCATAGCGATCACAAGCGTACCTCTCCTATTTTCTCACTGCTGTGCCAGAGCATTAAAGAGTGTGTTTCTCTGCAGAACTTTAATATTACAAGACTTTAAGACTCTGAAAGGGCAGAGATCATCCTTTATTTAAGGCAGAAGTGTTTCTAACAGTATTTTTCATGCTCATATTTGAATCAAAACTTTTAGTAGATTTTGTTTTTCATTTGTCAGCCAGCTTGATGAACCACTTGACAGAATTAAGGAGAGTTTTATTTTTTTACGGCAGTTCATGAGGATCAGGGCAATAACATGTAAAGCTTTAATAAGACTTACTATACTGTGCCAAATCCCTGACAGCTGTGTGTTAATGGTGAGAAGCTAGTATTGGGCTAGATAAACATTTGTTTCCCCACAGAAGTGCCTGGATTCATAAACGTGGTAAATGTATTAGTTATTCATATTGCTTTTCCGCTTTCAAATATTTCAATTATCAAATATTTTTGCAGCCCTACGTTGCTCTCACTGGACATTAATGATCAAAAAAAGAAAATTTGTTCACTCTGTGGACACATGATGTTCAGGTTCTGGTGAACCCTACTTTCACATACTTTACTTTTAATGTAAGTCAAAGGAACCAGAATTTTTTCCAAGTTATTTTGGGCCGTTTCTTTTGGTCCATACAAGATACAAGGTTTTGTTCTGACAGCTGTGATATTCTGAAGAAGCTTTCTGTCCTTTCATATAGCTAAACAGAACGTTTTTAAATGGTAAAGCTCTTTCTTTAGGGTCAAATTAGACAAATGTGATTTTTCGTGATTAATCTCATTGTTTTGTGTTGTTAATCATAATAACAGCCCTAATTATAATACTGTTTAAAATCGTTTTTATGATCTTCAACCCAAAACATATAATAGCGCAACTAAAAAAGGAGAAATATTTAAAATGACTAGCATGGTTTCAAAAGCAGTTTTAAAAAAACATGGACGTCTTTTAAATTAGGTTTTGTGCAATTTATTTCACATTCAAGTGTTTCACTATTGAAAGAGGGCACCCTCTGGTAAGAGAAAACTTCAACGATGTGATGTATTTTTATCTTTAGTTACCTGTACTTGAATAATTATAACAGACAAAAGTTTTTATACCACCTGCAGCTAAACTTTATCTGTGAAGTTTATTTTGCAAAGTTATTTTTCACCAAAACCACTGCTTTTTAAATGGAAACAATCCTTTCTTTAGGGTCAAATTTGAACCAGGTAGACACATTAGATAATTCACAATTAACAAAACAATATAATGTGATTAATAAGAATCAATTATTTTAATAATTTTACAGCCCTAATTACAACACCATTTAAAACTCTTATGACCTCCAGCCCAAGCCAGTCTGATCGGGGCATGAAGGTGCATCTGTAAGATGTAGAGAAGTCCCCTTCTCTCAACATGCACATACACGCACTCGCACACAGGGAAATCACGCAGCCAGTGATGCATAGTCGCTTACACTAATTCTGAGAATAGAAGAGGAGTGTGTGCGCATGTGTCTGTGTGTTTTTGTTCACTTCCTGTGCATGCACGCACACACACGCACACACACTCACACAGGAGTTTGTGTTTATTGCCGCCCACTGATGTGTCTGGCTTCGTCCAGCTGTC